TCAGTGAAGCCCTCCCCGTGGAAGCCGTAAAGTGCACACTTCGCTTCCTGCTCCACAGTCATGGCCGTCCACAAGCTACATACTCTCTTCAGCTCCTACACCTTGTGAAGTTCGTCGCACAGCCAGCGTGCTGCCTCCGGATACGTGTCGAGTGCATCGCGGTGAAATCGATACAGCCTTTTTTTTTTATTTTTCTGAGCAGAAGGCACGAGACGCAGTCGACAGTGACAGAAAAGGTTCGGAGGTTTAGTTGCCAGACCAACAGGTCATCTGGATTGCCCCTGCAAAGAACTCAGAAGTAATTTAGACTACCTCTAGAAAGAAATGCTTGCTTTTGCAGAGATTGCTTTCTTAGTTGCTGATTGAACCAAGGATATTGTTGTCATGGACATTGTTTCATTTTACAAATGCTTCAAAGCGTCTTGCCTTCTGCTCCATTTTATTATCTCTTTTATGGTACTTCATCAAAGTTAGGTGATTGTGTTATCTCAAGACAGTGCACATGTAGTTTGTTTTGAAAATTGCTTTATTTATTAAAGAAAAACCTCTGACTTCATGAATAAAAGTGTGATAACATGGAATGTAATATTTCATTCTTGGAAGTAAAACTGAGCATCGACTGGAACCATGTAAGCTATTGGGCAATCTTAAGTATATATCACAGATATCTTGTGGAACACTCTGGTCTTATTTGAGCACAATAGTTAAATTTCGAAAGGAAAAAAAAATATATATATTCTCTGAGTAGCATACCACCATATAAACACTGGACCACTTTGAAAGAATTATCACAGATGTTGCGCCAAACATTCTTATTTGAGCACAGCAATAGCAAGTTCTCGAAAGATAAAAAAATTGTTTTTGACTAAAGCAGCCGTCACTCGCGCGCTCCCCGTTGGTTCCGCCGACCCCTCCGCTGCCCCCGGCACACCCGTATCCTCGTGGTTCGACATTTTGGTTTGAAGAAGGCGCGTAGCGCACTTCCCGCATAATATTGGAACAACTTTCTCTCCAATTAATTCTTAAATGTATTTCAAAAGGGTACAAAAAAGCGGTTTTTTTTTAACAACGCCCAAACGGTTTTGATTGTTTTTCAATACTTTTACCTGTACTAGAACAGATGCGACGGCCAGCGACGCACAGGATTGGTTGCCGTTCCTTCGCTAAACGCAGGAACTGCTCCCCGCGTCGTAGTAAATCCTACCCCGTATCCCGCGCGTAGGGACGCCTCAGGGAATGCGTAGCTACTTCCGCTCGTCGGTGGTTGGCTCCGGACGTCGCTGAAACGGGTGACGGGTGTCAAGTTTGCGATGACGTAGCGGCGTCAAAGTGGGCAGAGCCGCCACGTGAGTGTTGCTAGGATACGCCCCTCCTTTGCATTACGTCACTTCCATGTACCTTTTCTCAAATGTCCAACCTAGCGATCCAATCATTTCGTGTTCCGAATATTTAGCCCCGACACCTGGCTTTCGAGTTTCACCTATTGAATTATTCGTGCAGATCGTGGTTTTGAGGCTTCCAGCTCCCGTTTCACATCATATCATCGGTTGTATGTCTTAATTTTTCGGATTACCAGCGATCTACAGTTCCAAGGCTTCGGTAGCCCCGTTAAGCCTTGCGTCGTCAGCGCCTGACGCCTGACTTCAGAAACCCGCCCAGCAATGGATGCCACCGAACTGGAACCGACGGCCTCGACATGCGTAGGCACGTCGGTTGCTGAAGCTACCTTCGACACCGAGTCGATGCACTACTCCGATGAATTTCACCAGGCAGAAGACCCGAACGAGGGGTGGATCACGCCCCGCAAGTCCAGGAACCAACGCACCCTGCCGCGCCAGGTAAATGAGCTCCATGCGGTGGTGGTGCCAATTCCGCATAGCCTGCAACTCTAGACATCAAACGGTACGATCTCCTCCCTTTCTTCCTGGCCGCAGCCTCCCTGCCACCTCACGCTAGTGAAGAGGTAAATATCGACGTCCGCCTCCAACAAAGAGTCATACTCCTTAAAACCGCCTTTGAAAGTTCAGCACGTCGCCTCAGCCAAACTAAACGCATTCGTGTCAGGAATCAGCTCCATGAAATCAGCCCCTACCTAGCCGCCCCGATAAATTCCTGCAAAGGGGTCATCCACGGTGTAGAAGCGGGACTCACAACCAATGACCTCATGCACTCTCTTGAAAGCTTTCAAACCACCATTACCACCGCACGCATGATGGGGGACACTGAGTCAGTCCTTATCAGGTTCGAAGGAGCCAACGTCCCCCGCACCATCCTCTTTCGCCGGGCAACCTACCGGTGTCACCCACACCGCCCACGTGCCCTGAGATGTGAGAAGTGCCGTATGTACGGCCACCGGACCTTTAATTGCCCAGAGAGCCCAACATTTTGGAGATGCCCCACATGCGCCGCGCAAATACCTCACCAACAAGCCTCTCACGCTTGCTCCCCTCGGTGCTACCACTGCGGGGGTGAACACTCTTCCTTCGACTCGACTTGCCCGGTCCAGCGCCAAAAAGATCAAGCCAGCATGAAGGCGGCATACGAACATCGTGTGCATCTCCGAAAAACCCTTCCGCGTAATATGCAAAAGCCCCCAGCTTACCCCGTGCAGACTGCGAACAAAAAGCAATCGGCGGCTCAACACAAGACGGAGCTGAGTTCCTCAAACCCATATCAACCACCATCCTTAAACAAGTACCATCTAGAGGCACAAGCGCAACTGAAAGCATCACTCCGCAACTCGCAAAAACCGACAGAATCGCAAACCCGTAAGGGAATGTTACCTGCAACGGCCACCTGGTGGCACGCCTCTGCGGGCTTCTCAACGACTCCACGTTCACCGTCATCCCAGACTGAAGACTTACCACAACAACGGTCACTTCTGCACCCTGCCGACCTAACAACATCTCAACCAAAGTCTGACATAGTCTCCCAAGAACCGAAGACCACACGAGCAAACCTCACAGAACCAGCACCATCGCCGCCATCGATAGGTGCTCCTGCTCCATCACTTACTCCCTCTCCCTGCAAGCGTTCACCTGCACTCACTTCGCTTACTCCCCCCGTCTATGATTCTCCTAACTACCAACGACACATGGAGCATGAACTCATAATGTTAAAAGAACGACTAACCCCATGTGAAGAACAAATCGCCCAACTCACAGAACGTATAGCCAACATCGAAACACTAGTGTCCAACATATTAGGCACAGTAAACCCTCTCGTATCCCGCATTGAAGAACTAACAAAGGCGGTAGCATCCCTCGAAAAAGCTGTCGGTATGCTCTCTGCATCACCCATACCCATGGAAGCAACATCCCAATCTCTTAAAAGACCCCTTTCTCCTGAATCCACTGAACACCCCTGTTCCCTTCAAAGGGCACACCCTCCTGCCCCCTCCTCAGTCACGACCTCATAATGGTAGAAAATTCCCAGTTCCAAGTCATCCAGTGGAACTGCCGGAACATCAAAACAAACCGCACTCCCCTTCATCAATGGCTCCTTACCCTAGATTCTCTTCCCCATATTCTACTACTCCAGGAGACACGCTATGCAGTTAACATACCAGGATACCGAGCTTTGCATGGCCATCCAAACGAGGCCCCTTTAGTTTCCACATTCATAAGACGGGATATCCAGTATGAACCACTGATCATCCCTACATCTCTCAGACAAAATGTAGTGGCATGTGCTTACTATCCCTTCCCTAAACACAGACCTATATGCTTCCTCAACCTATATAATCCCCCCACAGAGCACCGCCTATTCAAATCACTTTTCGACTTTGCTGCAGAGTTGATACCTAATTACGAGGTACTCCTGGGCGGTGATTTTAATGCCCCAAATGTCAGCTGGGGTTACCTATCCACACTTCGCCCAGGGCGACTTCTGCAATCGTACATTTCACAGCGCCAGTTCACTGTCTTAAATACTCCCGACATGCCAACCCGACAAGGCACACGCCAGCAACACTGTACCACCCCAGATCTCACACTATACCACGGCAGAAACTCGAGTGTCTGGGTTCATACTCAAGAGAGACTTCTAAGTGACCACTTCATTCTCTCAATATCACTCAGCATCTCTAGCCGCTCACGGAAAATATCAGTCAAAAATACAAACTGGGATAAATTTCGCAGCATCCTTGTTTCACCCGGGCAGCAATCAGGCTCTTACGAGACCTGGATATGCGCCATCAAACAAGCCCGAACACAAGCCACAAAAATAGAAAACACCACAGCCCCGGCGATACGGCCAGACCCACATCTAGTGCGCCTCTGGAGACGTCGTAACCGTATCTTAAGATGCATTAGCCAGCAACCCCACAATCAACAACTCCGAGAACGTTTACAACACCTAGATGCAGACATTACTACACACTGCAGCACTCTCGACATCTCGAACTGGAACAGAGTATGTGATCAGATAAACGGTACCCTCCACCAAAAGACCGCATGGCATCTCCTCCGTTCACTTCTAGGGCCTCAGCCACCTCCCGCTCCCACGCTAGACAAACACTTAGCTTTACAAGGTAGCACAGACCTTATCCAAGCCTTACAGAACCTATACATCCCTCCAGCATTGACCTCAAACTACCCCTCCTACTCGGGCCCTGAAAACCCGACTTTAGACAGCCCTTTCACACTAGCAGACTTAGACTTGGCCCTAGCAAAAAACTCACGAAAATCAGCCCCAGGAGAAGATACCATCACGTACTGCCTCCTCCGTAACCTTCCAGGAGCGAATAAAAAACAGCTCCTGACCTACATAAATGAACATTGGTCGGAGGGTACATACCCAAAGGAATGGAAATCTTCTACTATTATCATGATCCCCAAACCTGGAAAACCCCCATCACTTAATAACCTCCGTCCCATTTCCTTAACCTCTTGCGTGGGCAAGACGATGGAGCGGATGGTCCTCGATCGTTTTCAAGAACATCTTGAAGCCACTGTATTCCTGCCACACACCCAAATCGGCTTTCGTTCCCATGTTTCCACTCAAGACCTATTCCTTTTACTCCAGCACACATTCCTCTCCCCATCTTCCTGTCAGGTGCATGCGCTCGTCACAGTAGACGTTCGCAAAGCATTTGACAACATAAGTCATGATCACATACTCGCTTCAGTTCGAGAAACAGAATGCGGACAAAATTTGTATACCTACATCCAAAACATTCTTAAGGACCGCACTGCATGCTTTCGTATAGGGGGCGAGTTGTCCCAACCATTCTCACTCACACGAGGTACACCTCAAGGGGCTGTCCTCTCCCCTACTCTTTTCAATCTGGGTATGGCCCAGCTAGCTCGCTGCCTGCAGCAGATACCCCACCTTTCCCACATATTTTATTCTGATGACCTCACCCTCTGGTGCACTCACGGATCACCAGGGGAAGTTGAATCTACTCTTCAGAAAGGTCTAGACACCATAACTGTGTTCCTAACCCAAGCAGGGCTGAAACCGGCCCCAGAAAAATCGGAATTACTCCTGCTGTCTCAAACCCAGTATCAGCGCTCTGTAAACCATCTCATTTCTCTCTATTTAGACCATCAGACCATCCCGCGAGTATCCTTATGCAAGGTCCTCGGCATCCATCTCCACGATCGATCAAATCAGGCTAACATCACTCCGGCGATAAACACGTGCCACTCGATAACACATCTTGTCCGCAGAGTCGTGCAAAGACGTGCGGGCCTCAATGAAAAACAAGCGAGTCAATTGGTTCATGCATTGGCTCTTAGTAAAATTCTTTATTCGGTTCCATATTTCACGCTCACACGACAGCAACTTAATAAACTCAGCTCTGCATTAAGCACTCTGTACAAGGCCTCCCTTAACCTTCCAATCCATACCTCAACGCAAAGACTCTACGAGACTGGCCTATTCCTTCCCCTCTCCTCACTCCTACACCTCCATCGTGACCGACAGCTAGCCCGCCTCTCGGGGTCACATCAAGGGCGCTGGATCCTAGAACAAGCTGGACTCTCACCAATTGATTTTAGAGCGCAGCTCTTAGGGGCCCGTTCCCGGCTTGAGCGGCGTCGCCGTCGCCGTCGCCGTCGCCGTCGCCGTCGCCGTCGGCGTCACCAAGGTCATCCCAAGGTCACGTGACCCCTCCAGGTCACGTGACCCCTCCCAAGGTCATCTCAAGGTCACGTGACCCCACGTCTCCCAAGGTCACGTGACCCCTCGAGGTCACGTGACCCCTCCCAAGGTCATCTCAAGGTCACGTGACCCCAAGACCCCACGTGACCCTTTGAAGGTCACGTGACCCCCAAGTCACGTGACCCCTCTGAGGTCACGTGACCCCCGAGGTCACGTGGTCTCCTGCCCAAGGTCACGTGACCCCTCCCATGGTCATCTCAAGGTCACGTGACCCCAAGGTGACCCCTACGTGACCCCCAGGTCACGTGACCCCCAGGTCACGTGACCCCTCTGAGGTCACGTGACCCCTCTGAGGTCACGTGACCCCTCTGAGGTCACGTGACCCCCCGAGGTCACGTGACCCCCCTCCCCGAAGTCACGTGACACCCCCCCCCCGAGGTCACGTGACCGCCCCCCCGGAGCATATTAAAGAATAAGGGGAGGAGGAGGGGTCTACCCTCCCCTCAGTACCCTTCACTCCTCCTCCTCAAGAGCTGCGCTCCAATTCGGCGTTACAGGGATTTGTAAACGGCTTTCACTTTTAGAGCGCAGCTCTTAGGGGCCCGTTTCCGGCTTGAGCGGCGTCGGCGTCGCCGTCGCCGTTGGCGTCGCCGTCGGCGTAACCGCGCGGTGCATCATGGGAAATGTCCCATAATGCACCGCGCGAGCCCCCCACCGGGGTCACGTGACCCCCTCCTCGAGGTCACGTGACCCCCTCCTCGAGGTCACGTGACCCCCGCCGATGTCGCGTGACCCCCCGATGACGTCATCGTCACTGATGACGACACCGGCATCCACATCGTCATCGTCATCATCACTGATGACGTCACCGGCATCCACATCGTCATCGTCATCATCACTGATGACGTCACCGGCATCCACATCGTCATCGTCATCATCACTGATGACGTCACCGGCATCCACATCGTCATCGTCATCATCACTGATGACGTCACCGGCATCCACATCGTCATCGTCATCATCACTGATGACGTCACCGGCATCCACATCGTCATCGTCATCATCACTGATGACGTCACCGGCATCCGCATCGTCATCGTCATCATCACTGATGACGTCACCGGCATCCACATCGTCATCGTCATCATCACTGATGACGTCACCGGCATCCGCATCGTCATCGTCATCATCACTGATGACGTTACCGACATCCGCATCGTCATCGTCATCATCACCGATGACGTCATCAGTGACGTCACTGATGTCGTCACCGGCATCCGTATCGTCATCGTCATCATCACTGATGACGTCATCAGCGACGTCACTGATGACGTCACCGACATTCGCATCGTCATCATCACTGGTGAAGTCATCAGTGACGTCACTAATGACGTCATTGGTACCCGCATCGTCGTCACTGATGACGTCATCAGTGACGTCAGTGATGACATCATCGGCATTGGGGGTCACGTGACCCCCAAGGTCACGTGACCCCCCCTGGTTAGTTTAACCCCCCCCCAGTGCCCTTCCCTTCTCCTCAAGAGCTGCGCTCTAATTCGGCGTTACAGGGAGTTGTAAGCTGCTTTCATTTTTTTACTTGCACTTACCCGCTTTGCCATTGCCCTCTAATCTGCGTTTCGCTCTTCTGCCCCGCCGCATGACTCCGGGCCTGGACGACGGTCGCAGAGATGCTCAGGCCTTGCATCATAATCCACCATTTCAGACACAGACGGTAGCCTATACCGACGCTTCCATCTTGGACACCGGCACGGCTGCGTACGCAATCTACATACCTAAACATTCCTTACCTATTCTTCACACGTGCGGTCCATACAGCGACCCCCCGTCAATCACTACGTTAGAACTTGTCCCCATTATCCATGCCATCATATCATTCTCCCAATTGCCGCGCACGTCCGCTTACACTGTCTACTCTGATTCTATGGCTGCTATACGCTCCTTGCAACAGAGACAAATTCCTGCCGATCTTCGAGAGGACCTTGAAATGGCCCTACACTCTCTCTCCTCATCCTCGGTCACGATTCGATGGGTCCCTGGTCATGCAGGGATAGCAGGTAATGCGCTGGTACATCAGCTCGCCCGCGAATTTCACAGCCGGGCACCTGCAATCCCCTGGCTAAGCCCCCCGACCAATGACGAGGCAGCAGAGTACAAAAAAACACTCAAGTTACATTACAAACAGATCCGTATATCTCATGAACTTCTACCTCGACCACATCCACAGCTTAGTGTCGCGCAGACCCACATTCTCCGTAAAATCCAGACAAACACACTCGTCACACCTGCTCGCCTTTACCTCTTCCGCTATCGATCAGACCCTTCCTGTCCCAACTGCCCAGCTCCCTATGCCAATCAAGAACATTGTCTCCTTCATTGCCCGGTCGCCTACACCACCTCATTTCTTCTTAACCCCCCACCACCCTCCTGGAGTGCATGGTTGGCGTCGCCGCAACTGGAAGATCAGCTCGCCCTGGTACTTCAGGCGGAGGATATCTTGGGTACTTAATCTGTGCTCTAATTAAAGTGATTTTCTCTCTCTCTCTCTTGGAGTGTGTTTCGACGGGTTGAAGTGCACTCGCTTGTAGTGACACTAAACTAGCCCGTCTGACAGGGGTATAAGATGGCTGAGGAAGAGCAGGTAGCGACCGCGCTAAAGCCTTTTTTAACATCTTACGAAGTTTGTGTCACGCCGGCCGTCGGCGCTTCTGGGGGTTGGTTTTTGTTTTTGAGTAAGTCCCTACCCTTCTCGGAGTTGGCAGTCACCACCGACCAAGTGGAGCGCTTTATTGTGTGCGATTTCTTATTTTCAACAGTCCAATGGCGGTTTATTTGTATATATGCACCCAGTACGGTGAAAGACCGTGCTGCCTTTTTTTACGGCTTGAGCCGTTTTGTAGAATGTGATAGAATAGTCGTATTGTGTGGGGATTTTAACTGTGTTATCCGAACAGCGAACAGATAGCCGTCTCGGCAACGCACAGATAGGAGTGTTACAGTACTAAGTGATTTGATCGATGATTTTGATTTGGTGGACGCCGGAACCGTGAGAAACGAAACGTCGGAGATTCGTTTCACACACTTCCAGGCGTCCTCACACGCGCGATTAGATAGAGTGTACGTGTCGGCTTCTGTTGCAGCCGTGTTAAGAAAGTACCGCGTCATGCCTGTTTATTTTTCGGATCACTGTTTTATTTCGACTACTATAGGAGAAAATGCGTCGCCGAAGCCATTCAACTGGAGGCTCTGGAAGTTTAATGCAAAACTACTCAACGACGAAGCCTTTGTAATGGCGGCAGATAAAGCTTGTGAAGGAGCGAGAGGGGACATTTCTGAGTCGTGGAAGCTCTTTAAGCAAGAGATTAAAATGGTTGCGATGGAAAGGTCCTCTGTCTTAGCTTTTGAGGCTCGCCGTGCTGAGGACAGTTTAACCGCCGATTTAGCGGCCCTGTCGAGAGCCGAGTGTGAGAATCCTCGTACTCGACTTAAAGATTTAGAGGGAGTAAAATAATGTCTGGACGAGTTGCACCGCGAGCGGTTCCGGAGAGCCGTAGTGCGAGCTCGCTCGGAGCTCGCACTACGGCGAGCTCCGTCTAGACGTGCCATGGCCGAGGAGAAGAGGTACGCGCTCCGGAACGAAATAAGGGAAATAGAATATCGGGGGGCGAGCAGCACGAGCCCGGCTGTAATACAGAAGGCCTTCGTGGAACATTGCAGCCAGCTATTTGATAGCCATACCAAAGGGAGGAAAGACCCCGCGTGCGGGAGCCTACTAGAGTATCTTCCCCATTTAGACGCAGACGAGCGGGAGAGGCTCGAAGAACCCATTTCTATAGAGGAGGTGCATTGGGCCATCGACAATTCGCCCAACGCAAAAACGCCGGGGCCAGATGGTATAGGGGCGGAGTTCTACAAAAAGTTCAAAAACTCAGCAGACGTTGTTTTGTTAGGAGTGTTTTCCCAAGCGTACGAACGTAAAACGCTGCCTCATTCTTTCGGGCGAGCGCACACCGTACTTATCCCAAAAAGCGACGACGACGATAAACTACGTAAAGTAACAGGTTATCGGCCGATAACGTTGTGCAACGTCGGCTACAAAATCTTAGCTCGTCGGTTTCAAGGCGTAGCCCGCCAACTGATCGGGGAGCATCAGACCCGCGGGATCCAGGGCCGCTCAATCACAACAAACATTCACGTAGCTCGCACTGTTTTGGAGGCGTGTGATAACGGCAACGGCCAGGCCGCCATGCTTCAAATCGACTTCGATAAAGCATTTGATCGCGTTAAACATCACGTACTCTTTGATGTTTTAGAGCGAGCTATTTTCATTTCATTTCATTTATTATACTCTCAGGGCCCGAAGGCATTACAGAGAGGAGTGGAATTATATACATCAATATAAGGTGAACAATAAAAACAAAACGCAAAAAAACAAAAACAAAACACAAGGTACAGAATCGCTATAGAACATTGTTAAGAACATCAGTTATGGCGGTTTTAAAATCAGCAGCCTCAGCAAGTGAGACTACGGATGCGGGAAGGCGGTTCCAGTCGACGGAGGTCAGAGGTAGGAAGGAGGCATAAAAGGTTGAAGTGATGCAGTAGTGGATTCCCACTTTTAGTGGATGATCGGTGCGCGGCGATATGTATGATGGTTCTGAAAATATTAAGGCTCGAAGTGCTGGGTTAGAGTGATAAATTTTGTGAAATAAGGAGAGGCGAGCTATTTTTCTACGAAAGGAGAGATTGGGCAAATGTAGAGACGCTTTCATGGAGGTGACGCTGGCTGTACGGTGATAGTTAGAAAGTATAAAACGTGCGGAGCGATTTTGAATGGATTCAATGGATGATGCTAGGGATACGCCAGGGTTCCAGATAGAGCTTGCATATTAAAGTTTGGTGCGCACTAAAGTTTTATATAGGAGAAGTTTAAGTGAAACAGGGGCAAGGGAAAAGTTTCTTCTGAGATAGCCTAATAAGCGATTAGCGTTGTTAGTGATATATTCGACATGGATGTTCCAGGAGAGATCGTTAGTTATATGAACACCGAGTTATTTATAGGTTGACACAGAAATCAACGTGGAGTTATTAATACAGTAGGAGGGACAAGTGTTATTTTGACGGGACACTCTCATAGATTTACGTTTAAAGGTGTTAAGTTCCATAAGCCAATTATCGCACCAGTGGTGACGTTGTTAATATCGGTCTGAAGAGCAGATATGTCAGAGTCGTTAATGATTTCCGTATAAATCACACAGTCATCAGCGAATAGGCTAATAGAAGAGGTTACATGCGTGGGAAGATCGTTAATATATATAAGAAATAGAAGTGGACCTAATACAGTTATTTTGGAGGGGGCCAGAATGGGGCGTATAAAGATTGCACAACCCGGCTCATCGTTAACAAGGAGTTAACCGATGTGATAAACGTTCGTTCCTTTGTCAGACAAGGATGTTCCTTGTCACCTTTATTTTTCAATTTTTACCTGGAGCTATTTTGTCTGAGCGTTTTAAACAGTGAACAGCGTAGTGGTTTCCGGCTGGGAAACGTGGAAGTGAAAGTCATGAGCTACGCCGACGACGTAGCTGTTTTTTGTAGCGACAAGAGGAGCGTGAGTGCTGCGGTGACTTTGGTCAATAGGTATTGTGAGGCTACAGGGGCTGCCGTAAATTGGTCAAGGTGTCGAGGCTTATGGTATGGGGCGTGGGCCACGACGCCTTCGGTGTACGAAGGTGTGGGGTGGGACAGCGTACCGTGCGCATACCTTGGCGTGCCTCTTAACGGTTAGCGGGAGAACAAACAATATTGGTCGGGCGTCGCCACCGGCCTCGACTGGCGCGCTTTTTGCTGGAAGAGGCGTGATCTGTCGATTTTTGCTAAAACGATGGTCTGCAACGTGTTTCTGATTTCTAAAGTGTCGTATGTCCTGCAGGCCATTCATTGTGCGCGCGTAAATATACTGAAGTTGCATCGAGTTTTCGCAAAGTTCATCTGGAACTCGTGTTGGGAACCAATGAGACGTGACAATTTGTTTCACCGTCTACGTGATGGTGGGTTGGGGCTGTCGCATTTGTTTGTAAGGCAACTTGTGTCCCGTTTATTCTTTTTGCTCGATCACGAACACCCATTCATACGTACATTTATCCAAGTAAAACTGGCGCCCCATCTTCCCTTCTTCCTTGTATCTTCGTGTGACGGCGAGCCAATGAGACTGGTTGGCTTCCAGAAAGAAGTTGTCGACGCAGTCCTTTTTTTGAATGCGCGTTTTTCTTTAGATTACCTCTCTGTTGTAAGCAAGAAAACACTCAAGCGTGACTTGCTGATCACTTTATTTCCCACCCCAATGTACCGTGCTGTTATGTGTAATGGCGCCCAAGACGTTTTGAAGCGAGTGAAGCGCATGTGCATACCCCCTGCGGCGAAAACTTTCTTTTTTAAATTGCACAGCAACAGTTTACCTGTGAAGGCGTGGCTAAGAGAAAAGGGGTTAGAAATTCCCTGGTCTGTTGACTGTCCTTTATGCAAAGAACCGGAGACCATTGAGCATGTATTTATTTTCTGTTGGGACGCTTTATTTTTTTTGGGATGTCCTCCAACGCACGCTAAAGAAACAGTTTTCCATTAGCCCATTGGGCATGCGTTTTTTGGACGTGAGGAACGGTGACAATGTACCGCATGACATGTTTTTTCTTCTGGGACTTTTCAGCATATGGCATTCGCGTATGGCAGTGAGACATACGGACCCAACTGCGAAGGAAGTTCGGTTTTATTTTTTCAACCTCGTGAAGCGTGTTGAGAGCGTTTTTTCGGCCTGCGAGCCCAAGCCCGAGTGGCTGAGAGTGTGTGGCCCTATTCTCGAGATGCGAGAATTTTAATGTGCGCTGCCAAGTGTGCTGCAGTGCATTTTTATTTGGAATTTGTACCAGCTGCTTTCTTGCAATAAAGAAAAAAAAATGTAGCGTAGCTTAGCGGTTAAGATGTCTGCCTTATACGCAATCGGTCGTAAGTTCGATCCGCAGTGGAGGCTTACTTTTCTTTTTTTCGAACATTTTGTTTTGTTGGGGCATTTGGCGATATTTACGACATTTCTTTTTTACGATTTATTCTTTCTTTATTTGTTTTCCTTCGGGCAGAGCCCGAAAGAAGGACCAGTGCAAAAGGCTAAAAAGAAAAAAAAAAAATGCCTCACGTGGCACCGGTCCCTTACAGCCCACACATAAAAAATAACATGGAAATGCATTACATCTAACAGAGCAGCAGGATACAAACTTTTAGAGAACTGAGGCACACATACATAACACAAATGCAACAATAAAAGCCATGTATATAAGGATAAAAAATCCGTACTGAATGCAAAAAACGGACTATAATCAACAGGAAGGAAAAAGCGAGTCATCTAAGGAACATACAAAGAACAAACATCATTATCGCTCACTTTACGGAAACTGAAGAGTATATACCCACTGAAAAAAAACATTTGTCGATGACAGTGCTAAAAGCGCGAGCTAG